AGAAAGTGAACTGATTAATCGCTTTTCTTGATAGTAGAATGATACTTTTCTGTATGCAGTGTAATTAACGCGCTCATACCCGTACTGCCTCCGATCACGATGCCGCCACTATTTTCGGTTTCAAAACGATTTAAGCACTTTTTCTTGTTTTTTTTTTTTCAATGCAGTTCGAAACGCAGCCAATGACCAGAGAGTTTAACTTCTGGGAATTAATGAGAGACAGTTTCTCCCATTGGCCACCGGCTGCGTTCGAAACTGCACTGAGAGGAAAGTGCCGAAATTGAGCAAACTGTAATAAAGATAATCCCGTATTGAAATGAAGTGTACGTTATATCGTCCAACGAGACGGCGTTCTCGTTAGAAAACTAATCAGGAGAGAACTTAGAAGAGAACTTGAAGAACGTAGATGTTCACAACCTCTGCAGCGGGATCTTGGTGTGACGTAACACTGGCACGCGTGAGCGTACAAAACGTGCGCGCGCGCGCGCGGCACGTCCGCGAAACTTGATTATTCGAGTACAATATCGCGCACGGGTGATACCCCAGGGTGAAAAATGTTGGGGCTCACGTTATAATCGGGTCACTTTTGCGCTTATTCGCTAAATACGGTATTATATCCGCGCAAATTTGCAGAGAGGCAAAATGTAATAACACAGCGCGCCCATTATTTTAAGCGTGCCGAACTTTTCCTCTGAGTTTTTCGATGGTTCCGCCACAAAGCTGTTAGTCCATTACAAATTGATCCTAAATTAAGCGATGCGGCGCGCCACCGTTGTGCGTTACAAGCGTGCGCGCGCGCCGCGGTATCTCTCGTTAATGAGGTTTATTTTCGAAACAATATTTTCCATAAAAGCGGGAAAGATGATACGCGAACAATCCAAGATCCTTCTCTCTCTCTTTTTTCTCTCTCTTTATCTCTCTCTCTCTTTTTTCTCTCTCTTTCTCTTTCTCTCTGCTTCTCTTTCTCTCTTACTCTCTCGCGCGTGCAGTTCCGATATTACGCTAATGGTTCGTTTTCAATCTCTCATTTTAATTTCCTTTTTTTTAAATACATCCAGGTGTGCTCGCTCGCGCAGCAATTCCACCGTTAAGCCGCGCTAATTAAGCTCTGCCTCTCTGTCCCCGTTGTAGACAGATCGGAACAGTAATCTCGAGAGGGAGATTACCGAATCGCCAGATCTCCGGCGTTGCCTAACCCGAGGATTGTGTAAACACACAAGCAATGCACCGGCCGCGCGCGCGCGGATCGCCGAGAGCTTCCGAAATTTCAAGACGCGAATCGCTCGCCTCGGCGAGGCGGTGCCTCCCGTCGTCGAATCGATGCCCGTCGTGGCGCAATTTAATTTGCGAATTCCCGGTCGCGTCGTGCGGAAACAACGCGTTTCGCAGAAACGACGTGCCGTCCGCCGTACGGGCCGCGCGTCGCACGACTCTTTGTGACCCTAATGACTATCCGGCCGCGCGCGCGGCACAAACGACACAAAATCAATTCCGCGTTGCGAAGGCGGCCAGGCGCCATGAAAAATCGCCGCGGCGGGCCGCGATGTGCACGCGAGATATTTTTCATATACACGTCCGTCTACACGCACATAAAGAGAGAGAGAGACGTGCGCGCATTTTCGCGATCGCGAGCCACCTCGCGAATGCAGAGAAGCGACCGGAGCGTGCATGCGTGCGTGCTGGCCGTGTGTCGCCGCGAATACGACGAAACGTATTGCACACGTCGGTGCAGCAGTACACACGCGACGACCGATTGGCGTGACGGTACGTTGCATTTGCGGCACGCGCGCCGTGATACCGGGTGTCCGTCGAGAAGCGCGGCTGATTGGCGCGTCCGAGGCGTAATTGGCCGGCCGTGGTCGGGGTTTGCGTTTGATCGACGATAGGACGCGCGCGGAAAGAGCTCTTTGCGAGATAAAGCCCGGCGATTCGACGAGTAAACTCTGCTTTCTGAGTTTCGCGAGCCGCGGCGATGTCGTGGCGGCTCACGAGTGAAAAGGAGACGCGCGTGGCGCGAAATGTCGCGAAAAATTGGAAAGAATTACGGCGGGACAGAAAGGGACGCGAGGGAATGGCGAAAGTTTCAGGAAATTTTTCCTCCGCGGTGCGACTCGTGAAATAAAGTGGACGCGCGAGCGAGGAGGCAAGAAGACGCGCGCAACATCGATCCCGCGTTTCGCGCGCGTCCGCGATGACGAAACGATGACGTTTGGGCCGCGGCGCTTTTACTCAAATGAATATCGAATACTGTTGGCTACATTAATGAACGGAACGAAAAACACAAGCTCACGCTGGCCGGCATATTTCCGCGCGGTGCTAAATATTTATTCAGGAAATTAACATCCGTCACAAATGCGCCGCGTATCGCGTCGCGCCACGGCGCGGCCTGATAATTGTTTCGACTAGCATAAATATCGTAATTTGTAAAAACCCGCAGCGGCGATTTAACGGACGCATCCGTCGGCGCGAGGGCGACGCGTTCGGAAAGTCCTTTCGACGGAGTCGACGCCGCCGACGTCGGTCACGTCATGTCGGTGCGATAACGGTCAACTGTTCGGCCTTTGGATAAGGAAGTGAAAAATCCTCCGTTATCGCCGTCTGTATCGCGCGCTCCGAGCCGTTCCCTGGAGCGAAGTGGATTTTTCAAGCGGCGCAATGTCGCTTGCGACACGAGAGAATCGACGTCTCTTTCTCTGCGAGAGAGGCATTAAATCTATTAATCTAAGCGTACACTCTCGGCGATTACACGCGTGTACATACACAAAGATGAAAGAAATATTATCTCTTCTCGCGTCGTGGCAACTTTATCAATTAGGAAAAATGTAAAGCGCAAAAAGACTCTTGGATTTTCCTACAACAGCATCGACAAAACGAATGCGCCAACATCCCTTCCCTCTCCCTTTCCCCGCCCCCAACGAATAATTTTTCGTGATTACATAAAGAGTAACAGTGCGCTTTAAGGAAATTATATTTCCATACGTTTTAATTCGCACCGAGCGCACCAACGGTAGCACGCGCCTGCGCGCGTCCACACGGACGCGCATGCATTCGTCCGGGAGAACGGTGAAAAGGTTAATTAATTAGATTAACACGTTCCGTTTCCACGTGTAATTAAATCCTCGGGCATTCTCAAACGCGGCGATAAATTTCCTGTAAACGTGAAAAATTCGCGCGTTCCGAACTATCAAAAAATGAGAAAAAGAGAGAACAAAAAACGGGATGGAGAAAGAGAGAAGGAGAGAGGAAGAGAGATGTTTATTGGCGCCCTGAGACACGTCCCACAAGCGCATAGATCAATATATAATGTATAATAGCTGTACAAATGTAGCACATACAAAAAAATAAAAAATGCATAGACGTAAAATAAAGAGAAGAAAGGAAAAGGAAAATTAAATGAGATATATACATGCCTGAAATCAAAACGTATTGTATAAATAAAAGTTTTAAAAAATTATGAAAAAGAGGTATTTATTAAGCGCTCTGAGAAAATCCTTCATGCGCAGAAAAAAAAGAAAAGAACATAATAATATATGAAATACAAAAACCTCGAGAGTTATATATAAAATACAAAAGGAGAAAGAGAGGATGGGACAGAGAGAAGAAGAGGAGAAAAAGAGAAATAGAGAGGAGAAGCGAAGAGAAAAATGTCGCTCTACACACTCTGGCGACTGCAGTCCTCTTCCTTCTCCCCCTTCGTCGCGCACAGCGCAACGTTGACGCGGCGACCTTCGAAAACCGCCGTGTCCGCTTACTCAATCGCACGCGATCTTCATAATTTCGCCGGCAGAACCGCGTCCGCGTCTCCGCGCGAACATCCGCGTGAACGTTTTCCCCGGAACGTTTAATCATCGTTCATCATTTTCTACGACGGGGCCGAGGCTACACGGAGACTCGCGCGTCACAAAGTGCGGCCGATACTCGCGAGTGCGAATTCGCCCTGCGAATGCATCACAATTGAATATCGCCATCGGCGAGCGCTTTTCTCATAGCTCACGATTATGCAACCGCGATTATAAAACCGCGGGTCACGCTCGTTTTAGTGCATACACATGGCGATTACGATACCGACAGTTGACATTCTGGGAAATGCATTTTGATAGAGTTATCGCGCGTTCCCGGCTCTCAGTATACGCGACTCGGCATCGCGGCGGTTGTATTATTCAACAAGCTGCTCCAATACTAACGGAATCAAAAACAACAAACAGCCGGGGTATGCTTATATTTCACACGTCACACGCTGAATTTGCCGAACGGGCTCGTTAAACGTCCAACTGCGGACTTGTTCGTCCGGCAAAAATTCGTCTGAAATTTTTAGAAGTCTCTCGCCGTGCTCGACGCGGCTGATCAAAATATATTCCGCCAATTTGTTCGCGAGACGTACAGAGTTCTCGCGTCGGAGTGGTATGATACATAAGTAGTCGTTTTCGTCATATGGACTTGAATTCATCGCAACTACTTCGTGCTGTTCTCCAGCGGCATGTTGAATAGCAACGAAATATATTCTGTGAATTTCTTAGAGTGGAATTTCACTCGAAAAGCAGAGCGATCATTGAATCATTCGGATTCGTAATGCAGTGAGGATTTCACTAAAGTGAATTCTCCATTCTAAATCATAGGGTGAATATCTTCACTCGAAACTGAGGAGTGAATTCGATGTGCTCCGTCGTCACAGGAACATATTCACTTTAGACGATTGAAACATTTGCTCAAAGTGAGAATCCACCCTAAGCTTGAATAAAACACTCACTTTTGCGATCTCGGTGTTTTCGTTTCGAATGAAAATACTGTCATTTTCCACTCGTTTTGAGTAAAAAATAGCAGTATTTTCCACTTCAGGAGATTTAGAGAGCAGTTCACTAAATTCGCCAAAGATTGCCGGTTCTAAGTTGATCTTATGTGAGCAAGAAGCGCGTGAGTTGGCCCTGAAAGAGCATGTCCACGAACAGGTGCTGGGTGAAGGGTGCACATCATTGTTTGATGTAGTTGCGGTGGTGTCGCAGGTCTGGAACGGGTAGCGGAGGAGTTGATGGGCCGTAGGAGATGGAAGCAATACCAGGACACCCTGTACAGCGGCACCCGCAGCAGCGAATCAGCGACGGCACAGCCCCACCATCGGCTTTACCCGGCGTTGTCGTCGTCCTGCAACCCGATAGCCGGGAGTCTGGACCAAATTGGGCCGCAGCTGCATCACCCGGTACCCTCGTCGTTGTCGTCGACGGTGCTGACGACGGCGACGACCACGACGACGACGACGACGGCGACAGCGACGACTCTCGCTACTGGTGTGGTGAAGCAGGAGAGCCTGCAGAGGCATCACCTGCAGAACCACCATCATCATCTACAACCACCGCCGACGTCGGATCATCACCTGCAGCAGCAAGAAGATTCGCGCCGCCTGAGGCCGGGCGAGATCAAGGTCGAGGTCGCCGAAGTCGACGAGCCGACGGACGGCATCGCGCGGGAGGACTCCTCCTCGGCGAGAACGGCAGACACGACGACGTCGGCTGCGACGGCGACAGCGGGGGTGGCGACGACGGCAGCAGCGACTACCATCAGCACCACGGTGACGGCGACGTCTACCACGTCTACGACGACGACCGGCACGACGACGATAACGACGAGACGGCGACGTGGACGCCGGCAGAACGACGGGGAGGACGCCGACGGAGAGGAGGACGGCGACGAGAACGACGAAGAGACGGGACGGGGCCAGAACGAGGCGGAGAAACGGCTCAAGCTCGACGAGGACGTCGACAGGTCGGTCAGCCCTCTCAGGACGGAGAACGATCGCGCGACTCGGGATCATCCGACTGCCAACGCTACCGACACGGAAGGGACCAAGGTTCGTGTAAATCGCTCATTTCTAACCACTGTCTAATGGATAATCAATCATTTCTTATTCTGTTATTCAGTTTGTTCTTGGCCAGTGAGTTATTAGTCTAATCATTCATTTATTAATTCAGCAATAATTTATTAGTTTTCTCATAATCAATAACTATTTTCTTTTTGTTAATTTCATTAATCTTCCCCGTTTGATTAAGTTGATGCAAACAGTTCGACGTGTTTATCAAATTAAATAAAAAATTGAATTGTCCATTTTTGAAGGATTAACTATTTTTAGGAATAAGTATCATCGGGTTTTCTTTTCTCAACACGCGAGCAACCTAATGCTTGACTTTGACATTATCACAAGTAGTTAGATACAGGAGTGAAGGGTTGATAAAACATCGAGACAGCGTCCAAAGTAAAGATCAATCGAAATGTTAAGAAGTTTTACGGCTATTTTTTCGTTCGCTGGAAATCTGACTCTTTTATTTGACCGTTGTGTTTTCCCCGTTCCAGGAACGAACGGAGGAAGTCGCGTTGGAGCGGGCACCGGTAACGCAGGGCTTGCTGAGGGTAAAGAAGGAGGAAGAGCTGCAGGAGGTACCGGGTTCCGGCGGCGGCACGACGATACTGACGACGCCGGCGACGGATTCGGAAGGGACCAGGTCGGGGCTGTTATGCCGCGAGGGGAACGCGACCGCGCCGAGCGCCGCGGCGCCGTTCCTCCTTGGAAGCCGACGCACGAGCCCACCGCCGGAGGACTGGAAGCCGCTCGACAAGTGTTACTTCTGTCTCGACGGCAAGCTACCCCACGACGACCAGGCGCCCCTTGTAAGTACCTGACGGCGAGAAAGTTGTTGACTCGCGAGGTTGCGCATGGCTGGCCATCGACTTCGTCCTTCTCTGCTACCTTCTTCCTGTAGTGATCACCCTCGAGGCGAGAGACGGTAGAGCGGAAGAGCGAGCGCTAGAGAGGTGGTCAAGCTGACGCTCTTCTAGCGCGGAACTTTCTCTTTCTTTCTTTTCTTTTTCCACAAACATCGTTTCCGAATCGGAAGTCCCGGTCCAGCTGTCGACAACAGTCTCGTGTCCGCGGCGTTCAAGCTCAGCGACGCGCACTCCGACTTTGCTCATTTTGCTACTTACGCGATATCACGTCATCGGGATCTCTCTCTCGTTTCACCCTTCTCTCATGCACCTGTTGTTTCGTCGCGCGAGCGCGACTCGAGTCCGACCTAGCCTTTGCCGCTTTTGATTAAGTACTTTAGTGCGTCAATCGCCGCATCACCATCACCACCGCCGCTATCACTATCACCAACAACACCAACACCACCACTACCACCACCACCACCACTATCATCAATAACACACCACCATCTCCACCAGCGCCTTTCAGCTTTGATCGCTTTGACGCACCCATAAAAGATTCACGAGGAGGATTCGCGAGCAAACGGAGCGGCTTTTGAAGGAAGAATTCGATCAGAATTCGATCCCACCGCGTCGCGGCGCCTTCTCGCGGATCTCGCGTATCCTTTTGCCGCCGTGCGTCCAGCCATTCCGCCGGACCTCTTTCCGCGAGCCCGGATGACACGTATCTCCGTGCTGTGCCCCGCAGAGTCCGCAGAGTGACAGTAGCAGCAGCTCGCGATCGGCGGAGTCACCGATGTCGGTCCAGGTGGACCCGATGGCGGCGTCCGTGGTCGCCGCCGCTCTCAGCGGCACTTACCCCACCCTGCTGCCCCAATGGTGTTTGCCGCCGAGGGAGGCACCCCTCGTCAGGGTGCAGACCCATCAGGACAGCGCCACGGCGGCAGACCAACCGCTCGATCTCTCGGCTAAGCCCAGAAATTCTCAGGTAAGCCTGAATCCGCCGGTTCGGCTGAACATGCCAGCTCTGTTTGAGTCGCCTTCTTGTCATATTTCTGTCTCATTTACTGTACTCATCCGAATCGCGTCCTTCGGACACCAGAGCGGTTCGCAGGAGCGGCGCGTCGGAAGTTGGAGGGCGAGACACGGTTGTGCGATCTTTGGTAGATTCGTCATATTTCCGGTGTGATGTCTCACGCGGCGAATCGGTTTGGTTTCCGCGGAGTAACGTCGATTCTCGTAGTAGTGATTAGTGTGTTTCTCACGGATGCTTATCGGTCGTGTTATCGAGTGACTAACGCTGATGTCTGAGTAACTAAGCTGTACGCTTGCACATACATTAGCGAGATATTTATTCGACTCCTTCTGCCTTCTTCTCTCTTTCCGTCCAGCCCCTCTCTCCTCTCTTCCTCTCTCTGTTTCTTTCTTCTTGTTTGTTCTGCATATTCACATAACATTAATTCATGATCTATCTATGTCTGTTCAGGATAACAACATATCTCTGCTGGAGCAACAGAAAATACCTCTGAGGATGCCGACAGGCATCGATCCCAAGAGTATCCTCAAGTGAGTAATCTCATTATGTGTCTTATGATTTCACACTCGCGCGCGGTCGATTTTTGTACACGACTTCCTTCCGTACTTCGTCTTGAAGTTCTTGCGATACTCGCGCCTCTCCTCTTTGTTAACAAATTTCGTGACGATAAGCGCGTCGCCTTCCACCGATAAGAACGGCGCGTTTTGAAATAACACGGGAAAGGATGTCGAGCGGAGGCGAACTGTGCGACCGTTCGGTTTCGACGGGAGGAAGAGAGCGTTCTTCTGGACGCGTTGGAAAATCGTCGTTCGCCGCCGTCGCCGACGACGCTGACGATGACGACGGCGGCGACGGCGGGAGGCGTCGTTTCGGCGTTATCGCGACACCTCGAGGCAAACCGCTGATACGAATATGCATTCTGCACGTACGGCGAATAAATAGGAAGAAAGGTGGGAAAGGTGAAAAGAAAAAAAGGAATACGAGATGCGCGAACACATTCCGCGGCAAACGTTTCTCGTGATCGAGTGGCCGTTTAAGCCGGCCGGGCGCGCTCGATAAGGCGTCGATTAAAACGCCGCCGGCGGGCGACTTTCGAAAATCGCGAAACTGACAGCCAGTCGATCCGGAATGCCGTGGCAATTAGGTGCCAATCACACGGCCGGGCATAACCGTGATTTATCTCGCTCGTAAAGACGTCACACGCGACAACGGCGCGCGGCGGATCGGGAATTCGTATCGCACGAATGACACTCGGCCGGATCGAGCTCGCTCGCTCGCTTATCCGTTGTATTTTCGGCCGAATATGCAGAACAGGTAATTCGGTAATTAATGATACAATTCGTGTTCTCGAGGATCCTTCGTTATTCGGATTTAATCGATGCGCGTGCGCGCGTGTAATCAGTTTCCCAAGGAGCGTCGCGTTTTTAAACCGTTGGCGTATATAATGGGGATTTATTATTATTTCCAATCGCATTTTGCACTTTGTAACGAGGAATCATTTATTTGCCGAGAGCGCACCGAAGGTTATTAAATATCTCGCATCATCGTGCTGTATCGCGCACAAACGCGCGCGCAAATTCCCGTGCGCGCTGCAATTGTATTAAAAGGCAAACAGAGCGGTGTTGTAAATAAAGAGGCGCGTTTATCAGAATCTAAGATCACGGCGCACGCCGAGCTCAAGTTTGCCAGATGAACTTGGATTCGCGCGCGCGCGCGCGCGCGCGTTCTATCGCGCTTGTGAACGTTATGGCAAAACGGTACTGCGCGAGGGCCTGACGATTATTTCCGAAGGTGTTCGAATGAGATAACGAGCCCGCAAAGATTATATTATTACCACGGACACACGGGCGTGTGAAAATAATTGCGGTGAAACGCAGTTTATTGTTATCGGCTCGGCCGCGCGCGCGCGAATTCATTGAAACTCAATTCATCGGACGCGCTTTTTGATTCGCACGATAACGTGACTGCAACGCCGCCGGGAGATCGAAACGCGCTCTTCAATTATGTCCGCGCGATGGAACTTTCGCAAAGTCAACGCGGCTCCCGCGCTATCGCGAGCAAATCGTCGATCTGCTGCGCGCCAGGCGCGATGTTTTCCTCGCGATTCTTCGCTATCAAACCGCCATGGCGAATCGCCGCGACGATAATTCCAATGGCCTGCGAGGAATTTATGCCCCCCAGACAAACAATCTCGCGCATTCAAGTGTCCGTCGACGCGCCGTCCGTTTGCATTTCGCGTCGCGCTAACTCGGAGAGGTGATTGCCAACCTTGCGAGTGATAACCCACTCTCTTCCGGACAAATCCGTGCGTACACTCGTTTGCGAGACGGTTTGGGCACGTTTTGTTTGTTTTTTTTTTTTTTTTTCTAATGAAATCAGAAGCGCGTCAAATAATCACCGATTTGCGAGCCGCTACTCGCGAGCCTGCGCAGATAACTCGTGACAGAAGCCGAAGTGAAAAGATGCGAGACATACGACGTCATAATTGTAACGGAAGGTTGTAGAAAAGCGTAGGTATCTTTATTATATTCTTATCGATCAGGTATGAGTGTAATGAAGGGGCGACATTTGCACTGTCATTTTGGTTCCTATCAGAACCCGATTACTACACTGGGAAAAAAAATATCTGAAAAATACATATTTATGCTTAAATTAAATTAAGTTAAATTAAATTGACTTAATATTTACCTAAATCTAAATTCTCTTTTGTCTAAAAAGAATAAAGAATTGCTTTCATGAAAAGCTATGGTTTTAGGAAAATATATTTTCTCATTTGAAAGAAATATATTCTCTCGATGTAAAAATATGTATATTCTAGTACGAATAGATACGTTATTAGTCGAATAAATATTTCTTATTTCTTTTAGATATTTGTCCCCTCAAACGACAAGGCCGTGAACAATGGCTCGCAATTGTGACGATTTGACGCGCTGCTAACATTGTCAAAAACGTGTTCAAATCGTTTCACAAAAGAGTGTACACTTAGTTGCAAAACAGTCCAAACGCAATGAAGTTAGGAACTCACCAAACTGTCAAAACTGAGAGTCATTACCGACGAGCTTACGCGGTAACAATGTGACATAATTGATAACAAATAATAATAATAATTAATAATATAATTGCTACACACACCCGTCGGTAACAACTTTCAGTTTTGACAGTTTGATGAGATCCCAATTTCATTGTGTCTAAATCGTTTTGTGATCAAGTATACACACACACGCACAGACACAACACATCTACACGCGTCGTTTGCCACTTTGGGCGGCCATGTCGCATGTGATTTTTATTATTCAGCCACGTGACGATCTTGACTTTTTAACAATCGACAGTGTGCACATCTGAGTACGATTCGTGTTACGGAAATAGGTATCGTGTTCGCAACCGAACAGTTTCGATCGGTCGGCAGGGGTAACCTTCGCTTCCCGTTTTACCTCCGCCCGGTCATTTTTCACGAGCCTTTTTATCACTGGAATATTTCACCGGCTTACAAGGACGAATGATTTCGCTGACGTTAAATCCAATCATTTTAGTGTTCTTCATCAAACGCGCGTACGTTATTACGAGCGAATAAATGAGCGGCGCGCCAGGTATTATTTATCGCGCGACGCGCGCGTTATTCTGTATAACGTTATTACGAAAGAACGTTGAGAGAGAGGCAGAGAGAGAGAGAGAGAGAATGAGAAAAGAGAGAAGAGATAGAGAGGGAAAGGGGGAGAGAGAGAGAGAGAGAGAGAGAGAGAGAGAGAGGAGAAGAGAGAGAAAATATAATATGAAGATAATATGAGAAGATATAATGGAAATAACGATTCGTCGCGAATCGAAGTTACAGCCGCTTCCTCCCTCTCTCCCCGCGAAATACGAAGTTCAAGCTCCGACGGTGGAAGTTTTGTTTGTAAACAATGCTGCAGCGTATTTCGTAATATCGATGTATGCATGCGAGCGGCATACCTCGCCCATCGATCGAGCGGTCGCTCGTCGTGGTTAGATAGGTCGCTCGTTGCGTGATTCTCACGCGCGATGCCTAATGCATCGTGCCCCAGACGCGCGTTGTGTGAGAAAAAAATTTTTCGTTGTAAAACGAAACGTCTGCGTTCACGCGCACGTCTCCCCCTCCCCCTCCCATTTTCCCTCGTCCTGTCTCGCCACGCCACGCCTCACCTCGCTTCACGGTAAACAGCCGGTAGCCGCGAAACCGTAATAATACCGACGAGTTGCCTCAACTTTTCAACCCTTTGAGCTTTAAACCGCTACGCTGTCTGCGGTACTGCGCCTCGATAAATATTTAAGCAGCGCGTTTCGCGAAATCGACGCGCAACTCGATTGCGGTCTCGAACGCGAAGCCATGGCGTAGCGAATTTCGTAGACTTGGCCGGGTCGAAACAAACGACAACGAGGGTGGGAGAAAAGTTGCGCGGCGCGCTCCGTGTTTTAATTCCGCCTCTCCCCATCGCGGGAAATTTCGAGGGTGGATTAATTGCAATCAACGATATTGCATTTGCGTTACGGCTCCGCACTGGCGCGCGGGATAGTCCGAAGTAAGTCGGGAAACGTTAGATTGCAATTGAGAAAATCGAGATCAGTTGTGAGTTATCCAGCAACGTCTCCCGGAGAGACTGTGGAAAACGCGTGATAAAACCGGCTAGAAATGTGTCCCATGGTTTACTGTTTTATTCGAAGAGAGTAATTATTATAATAAGATCTTAGTATTAATAATCCTTATTGTTAACCCTTTTCTTGGCCAGTAACATTTAAGGAAAACGATGTTAGGTGTTTAAATGAAGTGAATTATGTCTGCTGAATGTAAGTTATATTGTTTCCAAAGTATCATTTTGTAAACATATTTTCAATGATTCTTGTCTGTCTACTATTGGCAAAAATCGAAGCTATTGACAAGGGAACATAGGCAACTCGAAAATTCAGAAAATTCTGAAACATTGTGTGCAAGTAGAGTAGTACATCCATAATATAAAATAATATTTATTGTTTCTGCTAAATTTCAATTTAAGAGGGTGAAACTACCCCTTGAAAAAACATAACATTTTTATTTTTAACAAATATTTCCTAAAATACAAGGCATATGAAAAAAAAGTTTGTATAAAAGTGATAGAATATTTTATACTCTTTGCAACAGTGTATTCAAATTTTGCAAAAATGAAAAATTTTTGAACCCCTCTTTCCCCACTCATTAATTTCGAAGGATGGTTTCACCCCTTTAAATCGAAATTTAGCAGAAACAAAGAATAGTTTTATATTATGGATGTACTACTCTTGCACACAATGTTTCAGAATTTTCTGAATTTTCGGGTTGCCTATGTTCCCTTGTGAGACGCCAACGAACAAAACAAAATGACCGGATTTTGCTCCGCAGTAAGTGCTGAATATATGCGTTCTTCACCTGCCTCGCTTTCTTGCATATAACACATGAGAAATCTATTGAGAGCCGCATAAAGCCAAATAAAGGGTTAATAAGGTCTTGATTTACGTGATTTATTAGGGCTTGAGAACATCACTTTATACAAACCACATA